ATTTTGCATATGTTCCTGGAATGTTAGAGTTGTTTCTGGATTGTGGTTATACTTCCTTCTTTGTTGATCGAATTTGCTGCATTCGTATAGTAGGTGGTGGTCAGTTGTGATTTTCTTATTGCAGGAGTCGCAGTGGGGAGAATTCGTTTTCTTTAATATGTATTCATGTGTGATTTTTGAATGTCCAGTTGAAGAATGTCTCCATCTAGTCATTATTATTTTTTCTCTTCTGGTCATGGAGTGTTGAGATGCTGTTTGGTAAAGGTCGTGCGTTATATTGTGAGTTTTTGTTCTTTTGTTGTTCCCAATTTTATTCCATTCTTCTTTCGATGTGTGTTGTATTCTTGTAATCAAGTCTTGGCATGGGATTTCTATTTCATTATTTGGAGTCATGGTTGTCGCTTCTCTTGCAATGAGGTCTGCTTTTTCGTTGGCAGTGATGCCTTGGTGGGAAGGTACCCAAGTAATTGTTATGTTTTTGTTTTTGTTTTTGTTTGTAACTTTAATGGATGTTTCCTGGATTTTTTGAATGATTTCGGAATTATTTTTTTCGTTTACGTTCACTAAGGCTTTAGTACACTTATGGAATATATAACGTGGTTTTGTAAGGGATGTGTAGATATAAGGTTGACAGCTTCCAGTATTCCGTAGGCTTCAGCGGTAAAGATAGTGGTAGATTTAGGTAGGCTTTCTTTTATTTCGGTGTTTTCAGTGATGACAGCATATCCCACTCCATTCTCCGTTTTTCATGCCTCAGTATACATTTTATTCTTAGTAATATTATTATAGATAATATAACGTATTCTGAGCATCGCCGAACGTGTTAAATACAGATCGTGGCCTCGACGATACGCTGCGAGCCGTAGGTCAAACAAAACAATCTCGTAAGTCCCGAAGAACTTCCAAATCGGGAACTTGCCGAACGTAGAACGATTTCCCGAGGCTATCGTCCGCCTCTGGGCGCCCGGGGGTTTTGCGTGTGCACGTTCACGTGGAAACCGCCGACGGACCGTTCGTGTTGGCCCAACGGGAACCGAAACCGCGATGCAGCCTGCAGCCGCGGGCCTCCAACGACTTGGCCGAAGTTGCAAACTACGGATTGCATCGCCGCTGCGGTCGTCCCCAGCTACCGACTTAATTGCAAGTAATGCCTCGCGTCCCGGTCCAGACAGAAATTTAATACCAATATCGCACCCGGCGATTACGCCCGGGCGTTGTTTACGGTTCGAAACCGCGTTTCTTCGTAACATGGACACGTCAGACTTCGTTCGAACCGTGAGACAATTTACACTTTACTAGTGCATCAGTGTGATTGATTTTGAGAGGTGGAAAATGTTTTGAAGTAACGAGAATGAATATTTAACTGTGTTGACGTCAAGGGTGTTTGTTAGAGCGGATTCGATTCTTCGATTGCGTTGGAAACGTTTGGTCTGAGGAATTTTTAATTTTTATGAAAGGACGAAAGTTCGATGAAAATATCTACTAAACAGAAACCACGATCGGGTACTGCAGTTTGAAATTTTTCTACAATTTTACAAATTTCGAAAAGAATGTTCGATTTTCTATTTTATCGATACTAATAAAGTTATTTGCTATTTTAAGAATTTTAATGTAACTCTTTTTCAGTTTAAAAAATTCTAATAAAGTCCTTCTTGAATGACATGAATTTTAATAAAATTATTGTCCAATTCTAAGACTTTTGAGTTTAAATTCCTTTTAAGGGGGTGAGTTAATCATAATAGGGTAATATTGAGCCTCGCATTTGTTTGTTCTTGAATATTTACTTCAACCGCAGTAAATGGAAATAATACAAACTAGTTCGTCCCGCGGAATTAAAAAATTATACAATTTGAAGATGAAAATTGGAAACTGGATACTTCAAATTGTACACGTCACAGATAAACATCCTTTGGGATTGTTGCTTTCATCCTTAATTTGGAAAACCAGGCCACAATGCCACCACTATTCCCTGAAATCCAGCGTCCTCATGGGCTTAGGATACATCCATTGCTATCGACTACCAGGTAGAAACTCCAATTTCTCAAACTCCCAATTAGAAAACACGATTCCCCAACTCGTAAATAACTAAAGTTGAATGCAATTAAACTCTTGATTAATCTGTACAAACGTGACCTTATTTTTATGCCTTTCAGCTTCATTTTATCCTTGTTGAGAATATATACGTATCTGTTTTCTTAATCATGTGTTTGTGTGCCTGGGTATGTGTATGTGTTTGCGCGTCTTGACCATATAAATATGTATTCTTTTGTTTTAAGTCAATCTGTCTCGACCCGTCTGTAGGCAACGTTTTGTCAGAATAAATATACGCATATATTAAAACCGTAACAATCCTGATAAATCTTCATAATTAATTTTTATATTTAATTTTAAATGAAAGACATTAATATAATCTAAGATTAACTGGCCTAAGGTTATATAGCTTATTATAAAATACCATACCATCCGTATTCTGTAATTATTAATTATATTAAATTCTGCTTTAAGCTATTCTATGTACATCTTCCAACTTTTGTTGTTTATTATATTACTGTTGTTACACAAATTTCATCATATTTAGAAGATCGTAATTCAGAAAATTGCAACCAACTGTCTACTTTAGAAAATATAGTGCCTCAATTATATTTTCTATTTACTTATTCATGGTCAAAAGCAATTCATAATACCGAAAGTGTATTTATTGTAAAATATCATACCACCCATTATTTTATAACTAACGGTCCTTTAATTATTGTTATACAAATTCCATCCCCTAGAAAAGATCCTAATCCAAAAAACAAATTTTGTCTACCTCAGAAAATATTGTACCTCGATTATATTTTCTGTTCGTTTTCTCCTTTTCAAGATCAGTACCTAATAAATCAGAAAAAGCTATTCATTCTATTTATACGAATTTGAATTTCATTTCACTCACAGCAGAAGCCACTTAAATTCGTGAAATTATCCGAATGAAAAAAATTACGGATGAATGCCGTTCGCAAGCCCTTAAGACCTTCGCTGGCACCGCGTTCCAATGGCAGAATGTTACAACAGTTTCTGGTTAACATCGGTTGCTGGACTCGAATGCTGCAATTCGTGATTTTCGATTGCCTAATTCCAGGCCGATATACACCAACTGTGCATTGTTCCATTATCGTGTAACAATGCGCCTCGCTGGACCTCAAGCGGCAGTTTCTGTTCACGTCTTTGTGTGTTTCGCCTCGAATATACAGGGTGTAAGATTCTTGTATTACAGACTAATACCTCTGAAACCTTCAGAGATGGAGGCAAACGTTATTGCTTTCTGTTCTGTGTAAAGGGATATTGTTGTTGTTCAAATTAATGTCCAGCAATTATTTTGCAAGATAATGTAAGATTTAGTAATTATGTAGAGAAAAATGAATAATTCGCTCTGATATGTATCATTGATATATTGTCAGGAAATGTAAATATTTAGAATATTTAATGGAAGATTTTCATAATAAAGTAATGTACAAGTAAGTACTTCCATCACTTGGCTAATTTATAATTGTACCTAGGTACAAAACTAACTCTTTATGTAAGTTATTTAACATGATAATAAATGTACAAGAAGATTGCGAGAACTGTGTGGATAATTAATATTTTTATATACGTATATGTAGTTTTTCTTAAACACAATTTACTCAAAGTATCCAAAGACTCGTGAAACGAAGCAGTCATACTTTAACATCACTAAAATCTTCATCAAAGTAATTTAAGTTCTCTACAAAAAATAAAGGGATCCTTAACACACGAGAATGGTATCAATATATTTACAGCAAAATACAATTAACAATCCTAGGCGAAAATAAAATATAAAAAGAACGCGAGGAAAAGTATATAATAATCCAAACCAACATAAAACTACATTTTATTCTTCTTAAATAGCCCAATAGAATTCTTCAAAAAAATTGAACGATACTATTCAAGAGAACAATTAATTACCCTTCCCATAAATAAATTACGAATTCCAAGTAACATTTAATCGAAATAATATACCTAATCGTAGGATAGAATAAATATTGCGAATCGTTCCACAAAACTTGTAATCGTCTTCTATTATCCGAATAAAATTCGGCACATCTATTCTCTTGATTCTTATTTTGCACCCTGTGTATACGAAACTGAAACGCTAACAACGCAAACTTGATTTCTGGGCTGAACAGACTTAGCCGGCGTCCTCTGCAAATTGAATTATCGCAAGATCCTGTCAAAGATAACTCTGTTCCGTGAGTCGGATGAACGTAGTTCACGTGCATGATGGACAGCGAGATCTCAGTGGAGGAGGTCAACGATAAGTCAGACCACGCGCGTTTTACGACGCGGATTAAGCATGCCACGTAACCCGCTGAAAAATGTCGCGTCGCTTTTTGGTTCAGACACGAAAACAACGCTTTAATACCCCTCATATATCGCACCTTGAAACAACACCTGCGTTTCCTACTGCGCAGAAATTAAGGGTTATCTAACCCTTTGTATTGCCAATTAAATTAAGGGGAAAATTAGGATGACGGATAGTGTACGAAACAAAGGAAAATACAAGCGATAACCATCATTAAGGGGGTATCCTGAATTAAGAGGTCCAAAAAAAGCGGTTTTTCGTGAATTTTTTTAGAATGGAAAAAAATAATTAATTCTATCGAACTTATTATCCTATTTTCATACATATTTTAGTAGTCTGTGCAAATTTTTTCAACAAGAAATATTCAAATTGAGTCGACTATGACGCACATTTGTAGAGCACTTCACAATAAAATCCTCCTATCGGCGGGAAAGATGCAGATCGTAATTTTGGCTTGACACAAAAAAAAAACCAAAGAAATTTTCATTTTCATACATTTTTCTTGTATGTGAACTAAAAGAATTCATACAACAAAAATTTTAAACAACTTTTTTATCAAGTTAAAGTGATTTTTTGCACCCAAAGAACTCGTTCTTTTCTTCAAACTTGCATATATATATTTGGGTTTACTAATATAACTTTAATATTTCATAAGTACACGTTTCTTCATATATATGTCGAATTGAATAACCTCCTCCTTTTCGAAGTCGGTCAAAAAGAATCCCTTGTATACCGTCCTAAAATCTTCCTGAACACTTAACAATAATTAGTTTTCAATAATAATTCAGTTAAGTGTGCCAAAAAAGTGAATTTATATCTTGTGCTATACATACATACCACTTTAACTTGAATCATGAAATAAACGAAAAATTTGACATATATGTATTGTAATAATAATCGGATTTGCTGGCCACATCTCCGATTGTTTCGAAATTTTGCATGAGCGTAGAACATCGAAAAATATTTCATACGAATTTTCTTATTTTTGTCAATTGTCATATTTAGGGGGTTTCATCCCTCGTAAAAAGAAATGCAAATATACATTTTTCCTTTCAAACGATTTTCATGGAATTTGGTATACTCAGGTATTTGGGGTCGCTGATTACGAATCTGAACTCAAAATTAAAAACTTCAAAGTGCAAAGTGAGGTCGCGCGTTCTGATGATTAATTTTTTTTAGGTGTTTTTCATTCGCAGCGAAAGTCCTTAGCAAAAACTGCACTGCGCTATAGTACCTAGCTCTAAATTTACCGAATCTTTTTTGCAGTTAGTTTTCTCCTAAATTTAGGTCACTTGAATAACGAAAAGAAGAATGCAACTGCTTTTTCCTGAAACCTTTCGTTAGCTTTAATTAAGCGCAAGGTGTTTCGTTAAACGTGGGCGTAACCTCAGAGCGCAAAAATAATAAACAAGTTTATTTAATCAGTTCTGCCCAACTTTGTTTCCCTACTACAAGCCGTTTTTAGAGTTTTGGTAATTCTCATCTCAAACTGCAACAGTGTAACTGGTTTTAGTTATTTCTTCTGCAATGTGGATGGGTTTGTTATTTGCGAGTAATTTTATAATTTCTATTTATTCTTTATTATCATCTATTTTTTCCTCTATAGGTTCATCATCCGGGAATTAAACGTACAAACTATATCACATTTTCTATTTGTTATTTAACAATCTGAGTATTCTTTATTTATTTCAAACGTATTGTCTATTTACTCACACAATTTATCATTCATATTAAAATCACCAGTGACATTCATTCCTTAAATGTACCAAAAAAGAAGTTTAACAAGTTTATGTATGACCTATCCTTTTTAATGTCCACATACGAATGTAAAACTTCACACAATCTTACTCATATGTATAATATAGAACTAGTTGTTATGACACGATTTATGTACTAATTATAGAAAATAATTAATTAAATAATACGAAGTATAAATCATATTATTAATAGATAGAAATATCCATAACATTACATATGGATCTATGTTTGTGATTATTAACATGTTATTTACTAAATGATCCTAAAAATATTAAATACAAATGGAGTGCACCATTTAGTCTTTTACTACTTTCCAGATCTCATCCTTTTGTATAAGTTAAAAATTTAATGAAAATTAAATCTTCCATTGTGAAAATACCTTAAACTCAACTAGGTTTATTAAATATTATTGAAATATTACTATCAATGTGAAAGTGCCATAAAGGAGAGCACAAGGATAAGCAATAAGGGGACGTTGATTTACTTCTCCAAATATAATAGAGAAAAATCTAGATGCAGAAAGTGTTGCCCAAGCAACTGCAATCACGGCAAGAAGTAATCCAATGAAGCCTTTCAATCTAATAAAAATATTTAAACAAGCAAGCCCTACAACGGGTAGTAAACAGTATCCTAAAACAGATGCTACAGCAGACAATGTAATATTACTGTTAATATTCATTAAGGACAGAAGAATATACATTACTATGAAAGATATCATAGCTAAGCCGTAAACATAACCGAAATATGCCTTCGTGGTAGCTATCGAAAGAAATGCAGCGAATGCTAAGTAAAATATAACCGGACCAGCTAAATCGGAATCCTCTAGCAAATAATTTACATCATCGATTGGCCCTACTTCGTGAAACGGATTTAAAACAGCCAATGTTTTTTGCATTATTCGATCGATATCTATGCCTAATTCTTCTAAGAGTGGTGGTTCATCCTCTTCGTCTACAAAACCATTCGAACCTACGTTTTCATAGTCAAAGCGATACAAATTATTCCATGAGTTTATACAAAGTAATCGTATCATATTAAAGATTCATTTTAATTGTTCACCTTTCGTAAAATCACTTTGACTTAACATTGCACCACTTTGACTGTACTTTAGGTAGCTTTCATGCGTGCACGAGAAATAACTCTCAATCTGTTGTTCATGACTTGTCTGGAGCTCGAATTGTTGGTTAGGTTGCTCCGAAACTGGAGATTCAAAGTTACATCGGTCTAGATAATATTGTCTCCAATAATCTTCATCACCCATATACTCAGACATTTTCGCACTCACTCTAACCCACAATTACTTGTTTTTATACAAAACTTGTTATCTCTTTTAGTGTTTATATAACCACTTTAAATGTTTGACACTGATCAGTAGCCCCCTGGGTACCAATTCCACTGCAGTTCTCGCATGAACCACGTGATGGCGCAATCTGGAGGACACTGGAGGACATTCAAGAATAATTAGTCATTTAAATTCAGTAAAAACTCTTACGCTGATGTTTATAATAAAAACTGTTAACGAAGGAGTTGTAACTTTTACTTTTAAATTAATGTTTTTGCAGTTTCGTTGATGATTATAAAAATGTATTAATATGAAACCTATGATTGTTAGAGACATATTTAATAATAGTATATAATGCAATCATTATACCTAGTTTTATTTCCAAATACGCGGTTTTGAAATTATTCATATAAATTACAATATATATGTCGCAGGGCTAAATGATAAAAATAGAGATTTAATCAAATCCCTAAGGTAGATGATCAATTCACGTGAGATGTTAAAATAACAACTCCGTAAGGTCGTTTTCCTAAAGAAAGTAAATGATTTGATCAAATCTCTTAACTGTTTTAACAAAAAGATGAAATAGTATGACTTGATCAAATCCCCTAACTGTTTTAGTATAAAGATGAAATAATATTGTTTAGATATTGAAAGTATTTATTTAGTATATCATGCGTTATTAAAAGTAGAATAGGTAATATAACAATACTCATAGAAACATCAATTATTTATTCGAGAGTAATTAGCAAAAGAAATAGGTAAATGCCTGTGAAAAAGTAACGTACATACTTTGTAACTTGAGATGCCACAAATCAACAACGTGTTTTAATAAAATTGAATGAACGTATTTATTTACTAATTACATTCACTAAAAATGTTTAAAATTTCGTTAAAAATATCCTTTTTATGTTTTAAAATATCAGCTTAAGTACCTATTTCTTTTGCTAATTAGTTACGAATAAATAATTTATGTTTCTATGAGTATTGTTGTATTATCTATTCTACTTTTAATAACGCATGATTTACTAAATAAATACTTTCAATATCTAAATAATATTATTCCATCTTTTCACTAAAACAGTCAAGGGATTTGATCAAATCACTTACTTTCTTTAGGAAAATGACCTCAGAGAGTTGTTATTGTTATTTTAACATCTCCCGTGAATTCATCATCTACCTTAGGGTTTCGATCAAATCTCTATTTTTATCATTTCCCTGCGACATATACACGGATAAAAATAAAACGATAGTATGTCTCGTCTAAAACTTATCTTAATTGAAGTTATAGTATATTTAATGTATAGATTCATTATATTTAATATATTGATTACATTTATTACACTTATTTAATTTTACATATAACTTCTACATTCATTACATAGCAGACACGTTAAAGCATTTGCTGTGGCGGTGTTAAGCGAACAACAACAAGAATGAAAACACTAAAACCCGATATCGGCACATGTACGCGCACGTACAAAACAAAAAAAGATACGGGAACATTGACAAATCGCACGATGGAAGCGTCATATAAAATAGGCGTTCGAATATTTATACGAATCTGATAAAATACTGGAAACCATAAACTTGAGCCGGTACCAATTACGCGATTCCGCCGATACGCATTACCCGGGACGGGAATTTAATCTCTGGCAACAAGAGCCGAAATTTCGTCCATCGGCGGGGACAGATACGTTTAAAAAGTATCGATCCGCCGCTCGCCAGAGCCCGATGGAAAACGCGAACCGTCCGAAAGAGAAGTAACAAAAGGTCGTAATAAATTATCACCGCAAATTGCCGACAAATGCGGTTCCATCGGAGAGAAAATTGCTGCCGCGGCATGATGGAACGCCCGAACCATAACGTTTAACAGACGCCGACGGTTCCCGACCAGCAGCGTGTGTATCATCGCGAAAAGTATCGAATTCGCGATAAAAGTGCGAACGGGACCCTCAAAGGGACTATTTCGCCATGGTGGAAAAACGAGGCGACCGAAAAATTCCGTCCCGCTCGCGATCGTTCTTTTTTTTTTCTCTCTCTACCTTCGCGGTCGGAGGAATTCATAGATTTTTGTCGACGCGTGTTATCAATTCCGCGTGAACGAGCGGGACCGTCAGCTGGGAGAATGAACACTCGTGCCCGCATCGACGGCGATCCCGCAGTACCTTTCCCCGCTGACAGCGATTCCGGTTTCAGAGTCAGGAGAAAATCAACGACAGGAAAAGGATCAAAGGGCTGGAACGAAGCAGCCGGACAGTATTTGATCGTCATTTGAATTAAAGATGAACGACGCCGGCCCCTGTACCCGTGGAACTCGTTTAAATACACCGCACGTTTCGACCGATGGTAATCTTTCGCCCGTGGGCCATGGCCCTGCGAAGACGCTAATCAATACTTCCGCAAACAGGAGAATTTCGATGACCACTCTGAATGCGAATTTCACAGTCGACGGGGACAGTTGCGTTTACGGCTCGATGAATTCTCGTTGGAATATTGGAAATGCGATAGTGAATATGATTAGCACGACGAATACGATGAATATGATGTATGCGGCGAGTGTGGTGAGCATGTTGATTATAATGAATATGGTGAATACGATAGACGTAATGAATATGAATGTCATCAGTGTGATGAACATAGTGAATATATTGAATACTATGAATAAGACGAATATGTTGAATGTAGTGAGTATGATGAACATGTTAAATGTAATGAACGCGGTGAATATGATAGACACAATGAATATGATGAATGTCATCAGTATGATGAACATAGTGAATACTACTGAATACTATGAATAAGACGAATATGTTGAATGTAGTGAGCATGATGAACATGTTAAATGTAATAGATAGAATGAATATGATGAGTATGTTATATATCATGAATATAATAAATGTAATTAGTGAAATGATCAGGATTAATATGATGTACCCAACGTATATCATGTATATGTCGAGTATGAATGAATATAGTTAATATGATAGGCATAATAAATATGATAAATGTTTTGCATATCGTGAATATGATGATCGTGATTGGTGTGATGTGTATAGTTAATATACTGAATACTATGAATATGACGAATATGTTAAATGTAGAGTATGATGTTCATGGTGAATGTAATGAACATGGTGAATATGATAGACACAATGAATATGATAAATGCAGTAGATGTAATGAGTATCATGAACGCGATAAGCGTACCTAAATAATGAATATATCGAATCCAATGAATATAATGAATACAATGAATATGATAAATGTGATGAATGTGATGAATATGATGAATATATTAAGTACAATGAAGTCAGACATTTTGAAAACCGTTCGTAACCAAACTGTTAATTCGTCGAACGTTCTGTTGTAATTCGCATAATCTTTGGAAAGTTTGTTCGAGCCGAAACGATATTTACAGATTTCTCGATCTGATCCAGAGTTCTCTATTTCATCCAAGCCTCATTCAATTTCGAGCTTATCTTAAGAAGCTTGCGCAACGAATAACGACGGACGTTCCATTGAAAACGTACAACGGTGTAATCTTCCGGAAATAAACAGAGTCCGGAAAAACAAGTCCGCCGGGTACACAGCGTCTGCTACGTGAATTCCTTTAAGCAGCTTTCGGGAATACGTTCCAATCAAAAACTGTCGAGATTAAGGGTCTTACGGGCGCGACAATGGAATCTTGGCGGCGATGGCAACTGAAAAATCGTCCATTAGAATTCGTTCTGGAGCTATTCGAAGGAAACCCTGTACTACTATAAAGGGCGGATCAAAACGTATGGCACGATCGAGCAGTAGTTTAAATTACATCCTTGAAAATAATTCTAAGTGATAAAATGTAATATTCTAGCTACAAGCATCAGTTTTTAGAACAAAATTTTGAAGTTCATTTCGATACCTTGAATTGTCTTCTACACAAAGTATAACATCGTTTCTCTGGTTTTCATAGTAACATTTAATTGTTAATATGATAGGAGGAGATCCACATATTTTTATTGTAGATTTCTTTAATGTCTAAATTATTTTTATTTTTGAAGCCTATAATTTTGATTAGCTAACATATAACATAATAAACATTATTTATCATGCATATTATTCTATTTTGATCGTTTCCCTCTCCTTAATTCAATTCTTTGATGCCTAAATAAATTATTTATATTATTTAAATCTATAACGTTCATTTGCTAACATATAACATAATAAATAGCATTATTTTCCATGTACATTATACTATTTTTACCGTTTCTTTCTTTCTACTTCAATTATATTCTCTTAAATTGTTTTCAAAGTTTGCGTCCAAAGGATTGAATTGGAATTTTAGAAACCCTGAAACCAAGATTTGGATAACTAAACGTCATAATCTATCTGTTCTCAAAAGCAGCCCAGTAATCACCTGTAAACAAAACGATTAAGAAGCGATTAGCATCGGTAGATCCTCAACGTTTACATGTAGACCTCGATCGTTGACAAGTAGAAGGGATAGTCACTTAGCAACAAGTGCCCCTCCCTCCTCCACCCCCCGCCCGGTAACAATTACCACAGCGAGAATATATTGCGCAAGTGGGATTCCATCTAATTGGATTGGTTACCTCGATAATTGCACGAGTACCGATACTTGCTGGAATTTTCGGTTCCTATTCCCAACGATGATCAGGATGTAGGGTAATTCGCTGCAACAGATGGATTTTCATCAAACACCCTTAACGCGACAAGCTCGTCCCTATGCTCTTCATTACCGGGTCACGATGTATCGCTTGTTAGATGTAAACTGACGGCTGATACCTTCGCGCAAACGATGATAGAGTTAATATCGATAGTAAACGTGTCGTAACTTCGTATTATCGCTATACGAGGAGCGAAAGCCAATGGAGACGACTTACGACTCGTGGTGCTCGTGCCTACGTAGCAGGTAGACGATGTTATTGACTCACGCAATTGAAGGAGCCGTCATTACCATGCTCAACGACTCTTCGGTCAGATTCATGGCCTGGAGATTACCACGTTTCAGAGAATCGTCGTGGAACGGAGAAAAGGTCTACCGAGGTCTACCTAGTCATCTTTCACGAGCCAAGAAACGCCAATGCCAAGAGCTCTTTTTATAATCGAGGATTTTCTCATTTTCAG